CCAGAATGACATTTTCAAGTGGGGGTATGAAGTAAATGTAGGCTACTGTATGACGTATATCTACATACCAATTATTAGTTAAATAATAAAACCTATGATGGTAAAAACAGGGTTAAAAAATAAATTACTTACTTTGGTTGAGTTGACTTTATAGAAAAATAAATAAATGTCAAATATAGGCCTATCATTGAAAGAATAAATAAAAGTAACATTATAAACCAAATGTTAAAAACTTACGGCAAATCAACTGCACCAATGCAGAGTTCTGCAGACTCCACTTCTTTCCTCCTCTTCCTTCCCAACTAAATTCTCTCGCAAGCTCATTTTTGAATAGTCTTAAAAGGATCCGTCTTGTTGAGTCCTCAACACTGGCCCCGCCAACCGTGCGAAGATAACTGACCTGAAACACATTATAAAAATGCTTAACTCTTCAACCTCTATTACTATTATATTAGTTTAACAAGTCTGGTGTTTTATAAAAAGCTTTTTTGTTTAAAAGTACGGTATGTTATTATTTTCAACAAGGATGGCAGAAAAGTTTAAGTTTACAAATCTGTTTGTAAGAAGCTTTGATTATAGGACCTTCATTTATAATAAACTAGTGTAGGCCTAGCCTACATGTTGCTCATAATCGGGCAAATGCAAAGAAGTAAAGTAGTGTATTTGGGCCCAGCATTTAGAAAAAGAAACGTTCGAGATTCCATACATTATTTAGCACAACAAAATCAACAGTGGCGTAACAAATCTTTACGGGCCCCCCTCTTATGAGTTAATTTAAGACCACCGATACAATGATCAAACAGATTAATCATAAAAAGAGTGGTACCCTAAACAAATTAGTGGGTCTCTGCCCACCGCCCCCCCCCCCCCCCCCAGCTCCCGGGCACCCCGAATTGCGGGCCCTTCTGTTACGCCACTGAAAATCAACGGGCAAATTATATTTTATACAAAGTTGACTGTGAGTTCAATTCTTAAGTTTTTCCCTTAGCAGGTTCAGTCCTAGCCGTCACACTCCTCTGTATTTTTAGGTTAAGTTATATCTACACTCGGGGGTAAGTTCGGGCCCGCGGTCAGTTATGTGATACGCTATGGGCCCAAGTCATAGTTGCGCTCATAGCCCCCCCCCCACCCTGCCGACATTGATTTGAATTATAAAATGAATATAGACATTTTATGAGTTGCTCGCGCATCTGCAATATAGGCCTAACAAATATAAGAAGACTCATTGTGTTTACTTTTGATTGTTAATTGAATTACCCGCTTAGTAACTAAAAACGTAAACCATCAATTAAAGTTTAACTGTTACTTACATACCGTACACACTTATATTTCCAATGGTGCGTTCTTAAAAGTAAAATTGGTTTAGTTGTAAAAAAGTGTGAATTAAAACATAGTTTTAATTTATATAAGTTATAATTGCAAACATTTAAAACTCCAAAAAGTCAATACCGTAAAATGGCTGGTTTTTTCTACATTTTTTTTTTCGGCCAACTCGTCAATAACTTAACATCATCAAAGTTCATTTTCAGATTTACCTACATCACTTTCTGTACACATCATCATTTAGGCCTTAATGATTTTAATGACCGTAAAAACTAGGCTACTTATTTTAGGAACTTTTTGTAACACTTTTACCTTACGAATCTTTTATGTCGCCCCCTTTCTAAAACCACTGCCACTTGGTTTTTTGCTCATTTCACAGAAAAAGGGTGTGATATTACAACGTAAAATAACATTCTTCAAACGTAAATAAAATCATAAGCAAAAACACGGCCAGTATCTTTACTTGCTAACAAATTGATACTGTAATAAGTTTCTCGCCATTTGACAAAAGCAACTGACATTGAGTATAATGAAAAAAGGACATAACAAATTAATAGCCTACAAATAAAGACAGACGATTAAGTATAGTTAATGATAGGCCTAATAAACAAACAGTGGCAGTGATGAGTCATGAGTGGAAGACGAAGTGAGGAGGTTTCAGATATTTTCCAATTAGTGTCTGTTACTAGCGCACCCAACAAAACAAAAAAAACTCTTGCGCCCCTAGACCAGGGCCCATTTTTAACCGCGGTACTGGGTAAGTTAAAACTTTCATCCCTAGATCTTAGAAAGACAGCTGTGATGTCATAGGCATATTTGATATACATTTTGATAGCGTTGTTACCCTTTAAAGTGCCATCTATTAATAAATCGTACCCTAGGCTATTATGTGCCAAGCCTTGATAAAAATTACTAAACGTAGGTAGCTGCGATGTTGTTTCATAAGTTAGACCTAAGTTAATCGTAAACAAAAAAAAAACATACCGGTAGCTAAACCTAACCTATTGATCGCAAACGTGGCACCTTAAGTTATTTGTTTGACATTTCCTTTCGATAGTTTTGAAGGACGTAGGCCTAATTATAAAGCTGCAGCCTTCTGGGGTTACAGTTCCGCAGAGAACCTGCGATCTTATTAAGTTATCAGATCAATAACAATTTATCAATATTTTTATAAATATTAACATAGGCCTAGGCCTAAGTTTAGGCCTAGTTAACTTTAATATTGCATTGACTTTAATTTTCCCAGTTAGCTTATACATTAAGTTATAGGCTTAAGAGGCTAACTTTATGTTTTCTTTTGTTGCTTTTTCATTAAATAGGTTAGGCTATATTTGGCTAGTAAGTTACCGTCTCAGGCTATATTTTGTTTGTGGTTAAATATGCTTATAGGCTAGTTAATATCGATAGAAACGTAGGCAAAACAAATCATAGGTCAATTTGATATTTACATTGGGAAGATGAATAAACATTTAATTTAACTTACCAAAGATATTTATCATTAAGTCATCCATCTGTTCACAGATCACAGGTTCTCTTCGGAACTGTAAGTTAAGTTACCCCCTTCTGGTCTTAAAATATTCATCTGCCTACAAGACTAGGCCTGAATTTTAACATAAACTTACCAATTAACATCATTTTTAGTCTTAACTGTAAGTTAGGCCTAGGCTAACTTATGACAGGTTCTAAGTAACTTAGGCATAAGTTTAGCTACGGTATTTGTTAAGTAGACCTAGGCCTAGCTTGTCTCCAAGCTAAATTAGTTCAGACCAAGGACATATTGCAATGAATTAGGTCTAGGTTATCTCCTGAAGTTGGCTTCCTTAGTTTTGTAAACTACAGCCTAATTTTTCCCTAAAGAGCCTCCATCCGTGGAGTTTTTAAGGGGTTAAAGGAAGGCTATTGTAACCTATTTCCACTTATAAAGTATTTAAATTAGATTACCACTATTCGAGTTATTAACAAAACATATGCTAAATCTCTTAATAACTTACAATACGGTAACGATAATACAGTAATTTGTGTAACTTACCAACTCAAGTTAGTCGAATCGCCACTGAAGTTAAAAAGTCGAAGATGTAACGCAAATCTTAAAGAATATAAAGTAAAAAGTAACTAATAGACCTAATTAATAAGTAAATAATAACAAAACAACGAATTCTTCCCGTGTAACACTGAAAATCAGAACACAGCCACAAGGACAACGTTTGTTGTGAGTTGTGAGACAAAGACATAAGACGGACAAACAATATGGCTATGGCGGTGGCGGATCGGATGCTGACCCCCGCTGTTTTGCTCCCATAATGCATCAGCGAACATCGTCGAACCTAAGAAAACGCAGAGACTCGGGTATCTCGCGCGGCAGAATATTTTGTTCATCATCTATGAATATTATAGTACAGTATGTGTTACAAATACATTTTACACAGGATGTTGAAAAAATGCAGGGAAATAAATACAACACTACAATTTTTTTTCGTATTTTTCTATTGATATAAAATACATATATTATCTGTATCATCAATACCTTTACTTATTTTACTGCATTCTCGAAAGTTAATTTATGCCCTCAAAACAACATTTAGGTGAAAATTTACACTTTGTTTCTTCATTTTACAGTATTTTATGCAAAATTTATTTTGGATGAAACCGTATTTTCATATTGGTATATAATATGTATATTATCTGTATCATTAATACATATACGTTGGTTATACCTTAATCCCGAATATTTACGTATTATATACATTGCTTGCTACATGGGTTATACCTCAAATTTGGTACACTTTAATGTCATTTGTATTCTCTCCACTTCGCTTTTGCAGACGTATAATAGCTAATGGCATCTGTTTTTTTTTTTGTTTTTTTGCTGTTAGAACTTGTGGTCAATGTAAATGTTTATCCCAAAAGATATTGGGATTTTTACTTGTCTTGGGTTCAGAGGGGAGAAGCTCTGAACCTACTATTTCAACGTTAGAACATAATGTCTATGTTAGGGTAAAGATCAGGAAGGTTACTGTTGGTCTTGTTTATTCCTATATCTTCAAATGACACCAAAACATTGAACAAGTTAAACATCTCATCTGTTTGCTCTTCATGATTTGTTATCATTCATGATTTGTTGCTCTTAATCTGTCCTTTTCTCATTCGTGTGTACATTTATTAGACATTGTTCGGATCCTTTGGTCTTTTCTTCTTGCCTTACAAGCTGCTCTTATATTTGTTACAGGTTTAGTGGTCTGTTGTTTGTACTTTGTAATTCGATTTCTCCTTGATCTAATTGATTATGTACTCCCTTTTCTGGCCCAGGTGCGATTTCATAAAAGAAAAGTTCTTGTCCGCTTTTGGACCCAAAACCTTACCAGTTTTTGGACACGTTGACATTCCGGTTTCATCTAAGCTATAGATTCGGAAAGGATCTTTGATTGTGTCTTGGGCATTTACCATATTTTGAGTTAATTATGGTTGTAGGGAAAATCTTGTGTATTGCCACTCTCAAAATGTATCGCCACACTCAGCTAAAGCTTTTTGCGGCTATCTACAGTTCTCAAGTGCTAATGACGTACTTTGCGCTCTTAATACACAAATAGCTATTGTAGATTGGTGATGTATTTTAGATTTGTAGAAATGGCATTGATAAAAACTGTGTGAGACTGATAAAGTTCCCATTCTTTTAACAGAGAGCCTAAAACACAGAAGAATTTTAGCCAAGGCTATATATGAGGAATGGTACTTTAAGAAACAAGAGGAAGAAGAAAAGAAAAAGTCTGAAGCAAGGCAACAGCAGAAGGTGAAGCAATGGGAGTTTCAACATGTGAGTTGAGTAAGCAATGTGTTGGTTTATAGTTTTAGCAATTTGGGAATTTCCCTGGACGCCAGGTCAGTTCCCCTCACACACACACACACACACACACACACTCACCCTCACGAGCAGAGAGGATGAGGACTGACCCTGGCCACCCTAGGCCGCCCGTACACAGTTCATTATACCACGCATGAGACATGCTTCAACTGAGACACGACTCATGATCAAATGCTTAGATACCCCTTCTAATCAAAATGTACCTTTTTAAAGTTGTACTTTTAAATAGAAACGGTTAGTACATTTAAACTCCCTTGAAAATTACAATAAAAATGATGCCAAACAACCCATGATTTACTTAAATATTCCTTCACATAACATACCTTCAATATATTTCAGGTTGGGTATACCCTCTACTATAGGTTTTATAAAGGCTACGTTGTGTTTGGTATCAATTTTCTCGTTTTATGAGCAGAATCGATTACTGCTAACTATTTTAAGTTTATATTTACGTTAACAAATTTTTCATTGGATAAAGGAAATGTCACTTGTGTGTGCGTGAGCCTACTTGGTGTTCAGGGACACTCCCGAATTGCTAAAGGAATAGGTTCTCTAGCTACACACTGTGAGTAAAACGGTTAGTAACATTATCAATCCATCATTGTAGTATTTAATGTGTCTTTTGTCTGAGGATTTTTAATTTTTTCGTGATTATTATGGAGTATTTGGCCATGATAAATTGATTGGAGTTGGTCTCAAGGCTGGGAAAAATCCGGTTTTCGTCATACAGCCCTTGAAAGTGCCCATGATATTGTCAATACCCTTTTGAAGTTGAAGTAAACAAAAAAAGCTGAAACAGGTTAATATTACTAATTTTGACTAGAGGTCGTCCGTGGTCGAAAACTCAAACAAAATATATCGTGTGCAAACTTTTCTATTTTCACCTCACGCTATAAATAAAACATGTGATTGGAATTTCTTCCAATTGTTTTGATTTTCTGTTTATATTTTGTTGTTATTTCGTCACCTGCAATAAATTTTTTGCAATGCTAATTTTTTAATTGTTTTGATTAAAATTAGTTGTTGTTATGGTCCTTATAATTCTAAACAAAAAAGTGCAACCCCCATTGCTTAAAAAAATTACGGTTCAAAAGTTGATGTAACTTTTGTGATTTTTCCTGTTAGATATCATACTACCACCCATGATGAAGGTTGTTGACAAGCTAATGGAAGAAAGTATTATCATTGACTAGTATTAATAGTCAAAGGTATTATGTTAGATTGCTCATACCGTATGTTTAACCCATTGGCACTGACTTTCGAGCGTTACTTGTCTGGCCGGCCGCTGCAGGCCCAAAATCCAACTTACAAGCCTAGATCGTTTTTTTAATTTTTTTGCTTTTATTTTTTTATTTTTATGATGTTTAAAAATATTTTGCTTCTTGTTTTGCGTATTTAATAAGGTATTTTTGGGAATAACGAAGGTTGTATTGCCATGGAAACCAGATATCACCCAAAATCAGCTGTAGTAAGGTAAAACAAAACAAAAATTTCAATTACTTATAAAGTAAACGACTTGTGAGTTTTCTACGTAGGGAATCATTTGAACTTTCGGATAATAGTGTTATTTGGTGTCTGGATTAATCTTGGAATTTGTAAATAAAGTTTACTTTAACCATTTATTTTTAAAACTTTTATTTTTGTATCATTTTTTTAATTTTATTTTTTAAGTTTTACACTATGATTATGCAATTAGAATTTTTTGGTAGACAATTTTATTGTGAACAATACCCCCGCCGCAGCAAACCTGCAGACTAAGTGAATTTCCATTTGCCTGATTGGATTTACACTAAAATGTTTCCTTAAAAATATCACATTTATTCCCCTATTTAAATAGCAGTAGTTTAACGAGTACTTAGGTTTGCTGCAACAGGGAGGGTAATTTTTTTTTGTAAAATGTTAATAGTTAAGTATGAAATGAATGCATTTTCCAAATTTGATCAAAATATGTTCATAAACAAGCAAACTACAACAGTTTATTTATTCTCCATAAGAATAACATGGGACTGTAATTTTAAATTTACAGTTTTTTGGAATTTTCTCCGTAACCATTAGGCGCATAATGACGCTTCAATATACTAAATTTTTTTTTTTAGTTCTACAAAATGGTTTGGAAAGAAATTGCTAAATTTTAGGTTTTTAGGGTCAAAAATGGGAAAAACCAATTTTTATCCCATAAAACCCCCCATAGACCCCTGTTCCCATAGTCCAATCATGCTGGTTCGCAAACTCGTTCGAATAAACGTAGGTTTACACGTTTGTACCAAATGTTATCAAAATCGTATGATTTTTGCTCGAGTTATCGTGCCAACGGACACATATATAAATATATATATGAATTTGAACGGATGGTGTTTTTGGTCTCTAGGGACCTCAAAACGAAAAAATAAATCGGTCCCGGGTCCAGGTCTTACCATGAGTACTACGGTAATAGCTTATTCCCTATATGGGAAATTCGTTAAAATGGCAACAGTATTATCAATTTATTACCTAAGGTTTTCTTTCTATAACAATTAGAGTGAAAGTCTACGAATTCGGTAAAATTAATTGCTGACCGAGGGCACTGCAGGAAGGGCATTAATTCCTTCCCCAATGGGTTAAGGTCATCGAAGTATATAACACAACTGGAATGCTAGGTACGGGTTCACGAAAGCGCACCGTTGTGGCAGCCTTCCCCCACCATCATGTTGGACCCAGCGGATTTTAGCCAATTCATCGAATAGTGCGCGAAGTTGTTAACTCGCTCACCTAGCCTTCAATAACAAAGTTTAAGTACAATAATGTTTATATATTCGTAATCTGAATTAAATGCAGAATGTAATGGTATAAATAAATTTTACTTTTGATTTGAAATAGAATTTCCAAAGTTAAAAAGAGTCAAAAATGTCTACATTGTGATATGAAAAAGTTAGTATGCGAGGAAGTATTTTATTTTTGGGACAGAAGAAAACTCAAAGCGACAATGTTGTAGTTGAGGAGATGATTTTTAACATGTGATCGAGCAATTTACAATTAAGTGTGTAGTTTTTTTGTAGTATAGTGATTAATAGTGCAACAAGGTTGATTTTATGTCGCACCAACCTCCTCAGTCCAGCAACTCTTTATGTTTTTTCTACTCGATCATTGTAAAGCTAAATAAATGTTAACCTTTTTTAATCTATATACAGTATATAAAATCCAATGCATGTATGTTTGTTTGTTTGTTTGTCCTTTATGGACTCCGAAACTGCTCAACAGATTGTAATGAAACTTTCAGGTATTATTAAGCATTATTCAAGGATGGTTTGTGTGAAGTTTGGTGCAGATCCCTCAAAAAGGCTCCGCCCAGGGCCGCGTTAAGGGTCAGTGACGGCCCTGGGCAAACCCAAAAGCAGCGCCCCCCTTATATATATATAACTATAAAGGTGTTGACCACAGCAGTGTAGGGAGGGGAAGAGGGAAGGGGGTTGACTTATCAGTTCGCCGAAATTCACAGCAGGTGGGTTGGGGTGAGTGAAATGAACTTGACAGTAGTTGCTATGCGAATGCATCTTTCCCTGCGCCAATAGCTTAATGCACTACGCAGTGATTTGATTATTGTTCAGTACAGTACAGTGTGCAGTTCATTGCATTACACACGTATTGAACGAGATTCTACTAAGGGAGTATGTTTTTTTTCTATGGTTCTACGGTTCTACTATAGGCCTATGCATATATATATTTATGCATTAGCGTGTTTTTTTTACCAGTTTTGTTTCGGGAGGGAGTTTTCAATTCCGTATCAGTGGAAATACTGGTTAATACATTTCACTTTCTTTAAAACTGCTTCTTGAGTTTGTTTTATTTCAGCCAACCGCTTGCGGCTCTCGGCTCCACTAGGTTATTTATGCATTTTTCACTGTTTATAGGCCTACTTACTTGTATCAACACTTCAATTTATTCCAGGGCCGGATCTAGACAATTTTTGAGTGGGGGCAAACTAAAATTTGCCGCCCCTCCCCCCCTTCACCCACAACAAAAAATCCCTCACAAATTAAACCAAAATGGAATAGGTAAAGTGGAATAGGTAGATATAACGAATTCCTTGATATAACGAATTTTTTTTAATGCCCTAGAACTCTCCATAAGACACAATGTATATTTTACCTCTACATAACGAACAAACTATAACAACGACCTTGATTTAACAAATTTTTCGTGATTTCGGCTAAAATAAGACACCTCAATATAACAAATTTATCATTGTCAGAACCTCTACATTGCGAATTTAACCTCTGCATAACGAATTGTCTACGTCTTTCACTCGATATAACAAATCCCCCACCCAATTATTGTTTTGGGAAAATCTGTTTCTTTATCAAATGAAATGGAAAGGTCACGTCATCGCTTGCGCTAACATTCGTCTGCTTCGTTTTACATCTTTGTCTGCTGTCTCTGCGCGCGCTATGTTGCAACTGAGAACAACTGATTTCATTCACTGAGGACTGATGACGACGTAATGTTTAGTAAGCTGTGATTGGGCGATATGGGATAACTATGGTGAATTGTACAATTTTTTTGATAAAGAAAAACCTAAGAAAGAATATAAAAACAAAACCAAAGAGAAAGAATAACAACATCGCTATTTTAACATTCCTTTTACGAGTATTTTTACTATCCTTAAGTTGGCTATGATTATACACTTTTATAATGACTTATCTAATAATTTATTGTTTTCAATACGATTTGTTTCAACTAGCATTAGCAACACCAATGCTATAGTTAATGATTATTATTGACATTCCTCTGTTGTGATAAATCAGTACTGTACTGTAAGTAGCCTACCGGCCTATCGCGAGCAGTAGTTTACAAAACTTTCTACTGTTTTGTTTTGTTCTTTACATAATTTATGACTATGCAATACAGTGTTTGGCTAGGTTTTAGGAGGGTTAGAACAAGCTGTGATTTTAAACTTATAGTTTTTAACTAGTGAT